AAATATACCAACTTGGAAAAATATCATCTTTTCTTTTCAGTGTCTTTAGTTCACCAAAAAACCCCGTAATGCGCAAATCATCAATGCATAATCAAAATAACAACTCGATGGAGAACATAGTCATTGCCTAAGCTGAACGTAAAAGGTTTTCTTTAGCATAAAAATAAAATGAATGGTTTCACGATAAAGTTAATCTCTTGTGCCAGAAGCATGCTACGCCTGTCTTATGCTGTCAGCCTTGTTATTACTTCCAAAGCTCTGCCATTTTATTATCATATAAAATTCAAGGAAGTGCCTCTTTTGAAGCTCAAGTCGATTTTTCTTTCAAGTTTTCAAAAGTTTTTCAACGCTTATTTACAGGCACTCACTTTTTCTATATCATGGGTTTTTCCATTTGTGCTTTATTTTAGGTGGATATGGTCATCCATTTTGCTGCTATCACTCACGTAGACGAATCATATACAGATCGTGTAGGAACGATACAGGACAACGTCATTTCAACAACCACTTTACTAGAAAGTATCATGAACAGAAACTATAAGGGGGTAAAACGGCTTGTACACATCAGTACCGGTAAATAAGTTGTATTACTTACCTTTATTTGCTACTTGAAATACCTAATCTACTTTTTAGATGAGGTGTATGGTGATTCATTTGAGGATGCTACACCAAAGACTGAAAGCTCTTTACCAAATCCAACGAATCCGTATGCTGCAAGTAAAGCAGCTTGTGAAATGATTATTCGTTCATACTGGGTCAGTCACGTTTTGCAGCCCTTCACTTTTCTTCCTGTTTCGCAAGTGAAGACCGTGATGTTTACTCATCAACAATCTCTGAATGGCATTTGATTGAACCCTTTTCTTAATTAGTGCATGGCTAGCAGAGCAGACACCAAATATGCCCAAAATCCACCCTTTCCCATTTATCATTTATATAGTTACATTTAGATTGATTGTTTAATTGCAGCATTCATACAAGCTTCCTTACGTTATGGTTCGTATGAACAATGTTTATGGACCTCGGCAAGCTGGAACTAAGCTCATACCGAAGTTCACCAAGCTGGCACTAGAGGGCAAGCCGTATCCTCTTATGGGAGATGGGTTGCATACTAGGTGATTTTCACACAGATACCCTATTGACTGCGTGATAGCTAACAACGCTCTTGAAATTTTCTTGCTTGTATTTTACGTTGCCAGTTCAGGAGCTGGATGTATGTGGAAGATTGTTCGGAGGCGATCAGAAGGGTCGCCGAAGATGGCCAGTTGGGAGAAGTCTATAACATCGGCACGGATTTCGAGCTGACCAATATCGAACTCACCAGAAAGATACACACTATTGTCAACAAGTTGCAAAAGCGGTTAGTTTTCTAAAAGTGCTTG